AGTCTAAGTTCTCTCTTAAGAGTTGTTCATTATTCTGATCGTCGTGGCGATCTGATCTGTCGGATGGCAATCCAACCTCGACTGGGATGACAGCTTCAGCTCCATAGGCCAGGCTGAAAGGGGTTTCGCCTGTCGCCGAGCTGGGTGTTGTGCGACAAGACCAGAGCACTTTATTGAGCTCGTCAACCCAATTAGAATGTGCAGCCAGCACTCGTGTCTTGAGGCCTCGCAAGACGATTTTATTGCCGGACTCGGCTTGCCCATTGGACTGTGGAGTGTACACAGATGTCAAAACGAGCTCAACGCCATAGTCGTTACAAAACGATTTCAGTGCTGCTACTCGGAACTGTGGCCCATTGTCGGCGATAATCCTCCTAGGTATGCCGAACCTACACACAGATGAGCGAGCTAAGCTACATATCACGTTTGCATCCAATTTATTTATGACCTAAGTCACCAAAGAATACCTGCACAATATGGAATTGAACAAGAATTCTTCAATTTTCCTTTCTGTTGTCGTGGATAATGGTTTAGCTTCTATCCATTTAGTGAAGTAATCCACTGCAACGACCAGGAAAGTGCAGCCTCCTTTGCCTTTGATGAAAGGGCCGAGCAGGTCGACACCCCATTGAGCAAAAGGCCAGGGAGACGCAAGGGATGATAGCATTTCCCCTGTTTACAGGGAAAGTACTCATGCTCAGGTCATAGATAAGCCACTAAGTTAGCATAAACTATAGGACGAGCTCGGGTACCTGGCATGTGAATATCATCAGCATTGAACTGGCAGGTCGGGCACTTTTTAACATAGTTCTGTGCGTCCTCGACCATAGTGGGCCAGTAATAACCATGCCTCAGGAGCTTCCGAGCTAGAGTTCTGCCACCGATGTGCATGCCACATACTCCTTCGTGAACTTCTCTTACAGCGTATTCAGCTTCGTAAGGAGTAAGGCAGCGTAATAGGGGCATTGAGGCTGCTCGTTTGTAGAGCTTGTTATCCAACAAAGTGAAATGTGCTGCCTTTCGCTTAACCAACTTCGCAGCAGACAGATCCACAGGTAACTCGCCACTTTGTAGATAATTTATAAGTGGGGTAGTCCAGCTCGGCGTGGTGGTATCTGTGCATAGTAGCTGACACTCGACCGTGAAATCAGTGTAGCTCGGGGCGTCTAGCACTTCGACGATGGTTGACCTCTGAGGGTTAAAGTCCCGCAAGGAGGCTAACTTTGACAGTTCGTCAGCTCGGTGGTTGTCAGCTCTTGGTATTTTGTCGATCTGAAATGAAGCAAATCTTAACTTTAAACTGTTGACCACAGAGGTGTAACGGCCGAGCTGGGGATCCCTAACCTCACAACTGCCATTTACCTGGCCCACCACGAGCTGAGAGTCACTGAAAATTTGTATGCTCTGTACCTTCAGCTCGGACGCCAGCTTCAAACCATAGATGAGGGCTTCATACTCAGCAGCATTATTAGTGGTTTGGAACTTAAACCGCAATGCATGTTTAGATTTAAAGCCATTTGGGCCTATCAGCACAGCCCCAGCACCTGATCCTTCAACATTAGCAGCTCCATCAACATACAGAACCCAGGCTGGGTAATCAAGTGCCTTGTCTTTCTCCGTCGCCGAGATGCATTCTACCAAAAAGTCTGCAATGGCCTGGCCTTTTATGGTTGTGCGCGGCTGAAACTTCAGGTCATATTCACTCAGCTCGACGCTCCACCCAATAAGCCGACCTGAGAGTTCAGGTTTCTGCAATATTTTTCTCAAAGGTAGATCGGTATAGACAACAATCTGATGTGATTGGAAGTAAGCTCTCAACTTTCGAGCTGTGTAAACCAAGGCAAAAGCGGCCTTTTCCGCTACTGGGTAATTCTGCTCGGCGCCTTGTAAGACTTTGCTGACGTAACAGATTGGTTTCTGATTCTTATTCTCTTCCCTGAGCAAGACCGAGCTAACCACCTCTGCTGTAACCCCTAAATACAGATACAAGCTTTCCCCGTCCACAGGCTTGGATAGCAGGGGCGCTGACGCCAAGTATTGTTTGAGCTCGTCAAAGGCCTGCTGACACGCCTCAGTCCATTGAAAATTCTTGGGCTCTTGCAGGGCCTTGAAGAACGGGAGGCATCTTTCTGCCGACTTGGCTATAAACCTGTGCAGCGCAGCAACACGGCCCGTCAAACGCTGCACGTCTTTGACAGTCCTTGGCGGCTCCATCTGCTGAACGGCCTCAACCTTCTCTGGGTTTGCTTCGATTCCTTTCTTGGATACCACGTACCCTAGGAATTTCCCTGATTCTACAGCAAACGTGCATTTCAAGGGATTCAATTTCATTTGAGCTCGCCGTAAGTTTTGAAATGTTTCGTCCAGGTCGTCAATGTGATCTTCAACTCGCATGCTGGTGACTATCATGTCATCCATATATACTTCTATGTTTCTACCGATCTGGAGCTTAAAGATGATTTGCACCAGCTTCTGGTATGTTGCTCCAGCATTTCTGAGGCCAAATGGCATCATGACATAGCAGTAGATTGCATCCCCGGCGTAAAAAGCTGTTTTCTACTGGTCATCCAGCAACAGCTGGACCTGATGATAACCCGAACTGGCATCAAGGAAGCTCATCCGTTCGTGTCCTGCTGCCCGCTCCACTAACTTCTCGACATTTGGCAAGGGGTGAGGGTCTTTCGGGCATGCATCATTAAGGTTAGTGAAGTCAATACACATCCTCCACTTGCCATTTGGTTTTTTGACGAGCACGGGGTTGGACACCCATTCGGAGTACTCCACTCTTCTGATGAAGCCTGCCTGTAGCAGCTTTTGTATCTCCTCGTCAATGGCAGCTTGCTTCTCGGGGCCAAAAAGGCGACGCTTTTGCACCACTGGCCTTCTGGTGGGGTCTGTGCTGAGCTTGTGGACTGTCAATTCTGCCGGGATGCCAGGCATTTCATCCGTAGTCCACGCGAATACGTCCTGATTAGTCCTTAGGAATTCTAGAAGCCCTGCCCGCTCTTCTTCTGTGATTTTAGTGCCGATCTTCACCGTTCTCTCCGGCACATCCGGGTTTAAAGGCACCGTTTCCACTGGCTCTACTGGCTCTGCCTTCTGCTCAACGCTCTCAGGTCGATGCTCAATGTCTGATATGCTCATTGTTTGTTGACCGAGCTGGGTTGGCTTATGAGCTTCTGTGCTCGCCGAAACTGCGGCGAGCTCGACCTTCTTGAACGTGTCTTGGTAACAAGCTCTAGCCATCCTCTGATTCCCTTTCAGCACTCCTACCCCTTGAGGAGTTGGGAATTTCATACAGAGATGGGGCTGTGAGATAACAGCCTTCAGCTCGCACAGTGTGGCTCTTCCCAATATGGCATTGAAGGCTGATTCCATCTTGACGACCAAGAAGGTGACAGAAGCCATCCTAAAGCACGGTTCTGAGCCCACATATATAGGAAGAGTGATAACTCCCTCAACCGGGACGGGCTGGTTATCGAACCCATATATTGGGCCTTCATGCTTCTGCAGCGAGCTCGGATTTAGCTGCATCTTCTGGAAGCAACCCCAGTACAGGATGTCTGGCGAACTGCCGGTGTCAATAAACACCTTATTGACATTATGATTGCCTATATGAACTGTTGCTACAAAGGGATCTGCATGGGGCATCATAATGTCGGGCTCTCCTTCTGCGCGCTTATAATCTGCCGGGCTGAATGTAATGGGCGTATTTTCCCATTCTGCTTCCTCAAACGGCCGTTTCAATGGTCTGTTTTTGTTGACGGTCATCACCTGTCGACCATATGCCTTGCGAGCTCGGGCGCTTTGGCCCCCTGAGTGAACACCACCCGATATCATGTTTATTGTACCAGAAGGTGGGGGTATCCCAGC